ATGCTTTTTGTGTTTAATTCGCGAACTTCTCATATCACTGGAGATAACGTGAACGTGGAAGGGCTCGAGACTGGGTACGGCGTGAATGCCAACTTTAAAATTCAACTCTTTCAAATTCTCTTGTTTGTGTAGTTCTCCGACGAGCCATGTAGCATACTCACGAACTTCACGGAGGAATGGTAATCCGAACTCACCAGATCTGCGAGAAAAATACAAATTCACGAGTCCATGTAGAGCAGACGATATAACACGTGTAAAAACGTCACAAAACCCACAAATTTCAGGTATGAATCATCTCATCTCGAGTGAACAACTGCACCTATTTAATTAATGCGATATTATTAGAAAATGAACTATCTCAAAATTCGTGAGCGGAGCGAAGCGTTTCACGATGTGCATCAATTGGCAGTGAACTCACCTGGTTAATTGCTGTGGTGACTTGAGCTTCTTATTCGGTATTATTAGCAAATGAACTGTTGATTTTGGGTATCCATCGTATACCGTAACAAAGCCATTTTGCGATTCATGCACAATACTCTCAGCTGAGCGTGTGAGGGTGAGATACAGAGCTTTTCGCCACTGAGAACCACAGACGACTTTCGGGATCTGACAACTGATACTCAAAGTGTTGGAACATGATCAAAGCTACCTCTTCTGAAGAGGTCTTGACCAACTTCAGTGTTGACATTAGCGTGGTAAAGGACCAAGCAATAGATAAAATGAACAAAAATGATGAGAAATGGGGAAAAAATTTGGCAAGTGATATGAAAAAAATACAGAAAGAATGTAAATTAGTAAAACTGATAAGAGAAAAATTGAAGAAAACTAAAAGTGAAATAATTAATAGGAAAAATTTTCCTCTACCAAAACTCAACAGTGTGTTCGTCATTCGAATTTGAATTCATACCGTCTTCTTGACAGAGATCACCTCATCCACTCCTAAACGATTATCATTTTTACACCCACATGCAACAACCGTGCCATTCTTTTGAATAGTAATAGTGTGGCTCCAAACACAAACATTCACAATGACCAATGATTCTACTAAAGTGAATTCACATACAGAATTGTCACTAAATTGTCTCCAACCGTATTAATTCTCTCTGTTGTCACCACATGTCCAATTACCTCAGAATGGTTCCCCCCGCACTAGTTCGCGCCGCAGTAGTTTTCAAATGCAATTTAACTGGTCGTCTATTCACACTAGGATTTCCCAAACCCCAGCCCCATAATTGAGTGAATTAAATTCAAGCAATAACTATGTAATAACTAATGTAAGCAATCACTACGTGATGATGGTCAATTAAATTCACCATCATCACAGAGTGATTGCTTCCCAAAGCAACTGCCACCACTCTAGGAATGCCAAAGACTCTTTTATATACCAAAATTTTCTCACATTCTTCCGGTTCAAATCGAACAATACTAAGGCGCCTGTGATCCACAGATGACCATGGTGATCTACTATGGAAGCACTAAAGAAAAATAGTGGAGTTTAGTGGAGTAGTAGAGTTTAGTTAGTGGAGTTTCTTGACCCTAGTGATATGAAAAACACTAGTGAAAACATATTTCAC